TTTTTTTTTTTGCTTTTTTGAGACAGGGTTTCTCTGTGGTTTTGGAGCCTGTCCTGGAACTAGCTCTTGTAGACCAGACTGGTCTCGAACTCACAGAGATCCGCTTGCCTCTGCCTCCCAAGTGCTGGGATTAAAGGCGTGCACCACCACCGCCCGGCTGTGTACACATTTAAAATAAAATAAATCTTTAAAAAGTTGAATAGGAAACTAAAGAGATAGCAGTTCAACGTTTATGAGCATTTTCTGTTCTTCCAGAGGATCCAAATTCAATTCTCAGCGACCAAATCAGTCTCTAAAGTTATGCTCCAGGGCATGCAACACCTCTGACCTCTGTAGCCACTTGCACTCATGTGAGCATACCGACGTGCAGACAGACATACCTACACTTAACTAAAAACAATACAATTTGTAGTTATGTATTTATATGTCTAAGTTTTGCCTGTGTGGATGTAGATCTAGGCAGCATGTAATGAAATGCCTGCAGATGCAGAGGTCGGTATCAGATGCTCTGGAACTGGAGTTACAGACAATTGTGAGCTGCCATGTGGGTGTTGGGAATGAAACCAGGGTCCTCTGGAAGAGCAAACAGTGCTCTTAACCACTGACCCATTTCTCCAGCCCCGGATTTTAGGTTAGACATTCAATGTGACAGGCAATGGTGGCAAGGCAGCTAGATCTCTAAGTTAGATGTCACCCTGATCAACAGAGTGAGTTCCAGAACAGCCTGGGCTACACACAGAAACCCTGTCTCAAACCGCCCCTCCAGCCAAAAAATGTAACTTATATTTATGGTATATAAATGATTCTTCGCCCGCCGCTCTTACTACAACATTTGTATATCTACACACTGAAAAATGGCTAGCTCAAGCTAATCAACTTATCTATTACTTTACATATTAATTTATAATGAGAACACTTAAAGTGCGCTCTGAGAAATTGATTTCCAGTAGATCAAACATAGGCTGATTAAGGAAAGGCTGGGAAGGATTCGTGAGAGTGGGAGGCGCTCCCAGTGACTTTGAGCTGTAGGAACATTCATTACTGACTCTATTCACCGTGGTATAACACAGATCTGTTGACTTTACTTTCGTCTGACATGGGACTAGGAAAGTTATTTTTTCCTTTGCAAAATTTGATTAATCAGGGTAAAGGGGGAAGCTAAGGGAGATGAAGCAGAACTTCCTTCCAGGCCTAGCACAAACAGCAGATGAGCCTTGCCCACTCCACCATCTCTGCCTGCAGCAGCCTGCTGGAAAGTCCCTGCAAACCCATTTAACCACCTTTCTTGGTCTCCAAAGATGTCAACAAAAACAATTCTGCTTTCTTCTGAGCCCTGAATTAACCTAGGCAATCTGCTTTCACCAAGCTACAGCCTGAACAGGAGAGATGGGCTTGGGAAGTTCAAGAAAACCCAGCCAGGCTGTTTGGTTTATACCTGGGTCTGGAGAGGATAGGAGGGCTTTCCGCTCTTAGAGAGGACCTGAGTTCAGGTCTCGGGTCCCACATGGGGAAGGGGAGGTTCACAACCACCTGTAACTCCAAGTGGACATCTACATACACACACAATTAAGAAAAAATACATCTTGAGTGACTGGAGACATGGCTCAGAGGTTAAGAGCACTGGCTGCAGCCAGGCAGCAGTGGCTGCAAGCCTTTAAATTCTGAGCATTAGGGAGGCAGAGGCAGGCAGATCTCTGTGAGTTCAAGACCAGCCTGGTCTACAAGAGCTAGTTCCAGGACAGGCTCCAAAGCTACAGAGAAACCCTGTCTCCAAACAAACAAACAAACAAA